GGTCCCGTTCTTAGAGTGAGGACCCAGCAATACTCCTCATCTATTCAAATTGTAATTTTGACCTGAACCAGAGAACGATCAATCTCCATATCAGTACCCCCAGAGGTATTGATTTTCTGTGGTAAATTAAAGAACTCTCTGACCCCGACAGATTTAACATGCACTAGTCACCATTTAATACTCGGGGATTCTTTGTCCGGAAGGATTTTAACTCCAATCACTGTAGATCGCGCAAGAAAATATCAACTTAGTTTCTGCGTCCGCCTTTCCTTCCAAAAATATCAACTTAGTCCTTCCAATTTTTTAATAAAGATATTTTCCACATCAACTACTATATTGAAGAGGAGGCTATACAGCAGGATAAACTTTTATAGAAAATTCTGTCTTACATCAATTAGCAGTTTAAAGTTTAGAGAAAACTGAGTTCTGGTAAACCAAGATAATGCTAAAAAAACGTTATCAAAATGCAATACGACTGTCAAATATCAAAATATTGTATATTCAATCTATCAAATGCAGAATTCAAAATATCAAATTAATCAGGTTTACTCAGTGGGGAAGTAATTCTGCAATAATTTCATTTCTTTTTGCTATTTTGAAAAACTTTGTTTCAGCATTTTTTGCGTCATAGTTTACTCTAGTTTTATCTGAGCTCACTTTTTCCACTGAACATACTTTAAATTTTCAATTACTTAAGTAGGTGGAAAAGAATTTGTCAAGAAAAATTTCCCTCTCAGTGTAGCGTCCTCTTAATGGTTTAAAGAGAAAAGTAAATATAGTCAAATTATCTTGCATCATCATTCATGTAGCTGCGAATCGATAGAAAAATCACTTCTGAGTACCTGACTTTAATAATCAACCTGGAAAGAGATTATGGTAGACAAAGAAATAAACTTTTCAGAAAATACCAGGAAAAATAAGAGGAAAGACTTAATGATTTGTTTGTTTACTTTTCTTACCAAGATTTTTCATTTTTCCACCTAAGCAGCAAATGGTCGATTTGTCTTATCACTATTCTTTTTTACTTTCTAAGCAGAAACGCCATCGTTTGTGAAATACTTAAGCCCTAAGGAATCAATGTTAAACTTTAGGTTTAACCAGGCAAAAATTTGTTTGCTGAAAAGTTGATTACTAGTTAATTTTTTTGGCCTTTCATTTACCAATAGTTTCACAGATTAGCTGTTTATACTCATATTTTTTACTTCTTTTCTTACTTTAGTCACCTAAAGTGAAGCATCAGATAGTTCATTCTACAAATAATTCGTTTATATTTCTGTATGAAATGGCAATAGTAGCTGAAATAAAATTTTTTCTGATTAAGTTTTCTAAACTATATATCAAGAGTTAGCATGCATAGATGAATATTAATTAGACCATTCCAAAAACCTTAATTATATCCATATACAGTTTTTTATTTTAATTTTATAACCGTCATTGAACAGCCGACCTAATTTTGAGTGTACGACTACCAATATTGAACTTCGTGGTCTTATAATTTTGAACTCACTTCAAAAGAAAAGATAGCCTCTGGATCAAGTTTTGGAAAAAATTGCCTTCGTAGAGAACTTCTTGATGGAAATAATCCTCTTTTGCGCTACACTGAGAGGAAAACCACGAAAACCTTCCATAGTTAGCCTGACGGTTAAAGGATTCTAAGTCATGATCCGTAATATTTTCTCTGCTAAAGGCAGATTGTTTGTATAGAATTAGTATAGAAAGGATTTCCTTTTTTTTGTCCAACCCCTGCCAATGATGTAAAAAGTGTTTTTCCGAAAAAGTAATCGTATATATATATTTAAAAAAGTTTGTCTCTCTATTACCGATCTCTTTAACTTTGAAAACGAAATTTGCATAGATTTCATATCCAGATAGAGATTTTTATGTGACAATTATATTATGGAAGACCGAACTACCTCGTTTCTGCCAAATTCCAAAAATGGAAAATTTGTGGTAAAACTTTTCTGGCATGTAATAACATAACTTACCTGCTGAAAATGCCAGGTATCGCAGTTTCTAAAATATAATTATTTAAAAAAATATTTGGATATCTAACGCTAAACTTGTATACAATAACAGGGCTGCCCAGTGTTGCCAGATTGGGCTACAAGTAGCGGATTGAGCTACTTTTAAAAGTCCCCGCTACTCAAAATCGAATTTGGGCTACCCGCTACTTTTTGGGCTACTCATTGTTTTTCAAACGCTACAAATCTTAAAAATGCGCTACTTTCTTACAGAATTTTATGCTACTTTTCTTACAGAAATACTTCTTTAAAAAATTTTTTCCTTTCCTATTTTAAAATGATTCTGAAAAGTCTGCAGTTTCTTTATCTTTTTTAAAAAGGAATTTTTTTTTCTTCCTGAAAACGCATCAGCTTTAGTTTTGAATTCTTGATTTGTTTTGCTGCGCAGAGTCTAGAATCTCTCCATATCTGTGCTTCAAATCGTGAAATCGCAAAGATATATATGGAAAAGTGCACGGCGAGTATGATTAAAAAGCTTTTACTCCAACCATTATTAATCGTTTATCCTCTGGAAAAACCACGTGACTTTTAATCTGAGTTAAAACGAAATATTGAAATTTTATATATATATATATATATTGAAATATATATATATTGAAATATATATACTGATATATATTATATTGATATATATTGAAAATTGAAATATATATATATATATACATATCGAAATTTCAATATTTCGTTTTAACTCAGATTAAAAGTCACGTGGGTTTTCCAGAGGATAAACGATTAATAATGGTTGGAGTAAAAGCTTATTAATCATACTCGCCGTGCACTTTTCCATAGATACCTTTCCATATATATCTATATCTATATATATATATATATATATATATATATAAACGTGGATTTTTGGGCTACAAAATGTTCGAATCCGCTACTTTTGGAGCTCCCATTCGCCACTTTTTAATCTTATGTAATCTTATTTAATCTTATTTAATCTGGCAACACTGGGGCTGCCAACTTTCTACGCTTATCGTAAAAAAATTATTCAAGTGGTACATAAATTTATGTATTAATGTATTATTTTTTTATTCATTTGAACTTATTATCCACACCACTACAGATAAATGATTTAAAATTTCATGTACAATGTCACTTTGTCCTATCCTTTTCGTAGTGAGGCTTTTAAAATGTTGGCAAAATTATCTAAAATTCTGAAAGCTTTGGTTTTTAAATGCCTACCAATCTATAAAATATTTTGCAAAAAGCATGGAAGTTGGCTGACCTGCAATAAGTACTAGCATACAATATTAATACTTTACCTTTTTTACCAGTAAAAAAATGTATTTTTAAAATGAGCGAAAATTCGGTAGTAATTGGAGGATATGTATATTATACTGACAACCTTTTTTACCAGTAAAAAAAATGTATTTTTAAAATGAGCGAAAATTCGGTAGTAGTTGGAGGAAATGTATATTATATTGACATATTATTATAACTGCTGACTTTTACTTATTTTACTTAAAATTTTCTTTTTAACCTTAATGTGGAATCAAAATCGTATACTTTCTATTTACAAGGTTACCAAGAGCGACTAAAAATGTAAGAAATGGTAGAGACTATCAATCCATTTATATTTATTTAATCTAATTGATTTTTTGAACCAAAATATAATTATTCGAAATTACACTACAAATTATTCATATTTAAAGCGAAAACATTTACTTTCAAAAGTAAACTGTATGAAATAAGCAAGAAAAATTGGCTAAATTTAAATTTTTTTAATAGATATTTTCTATTTAGTTACCACTTTTGGTCACCAGCGGCATCCCTTTATTAATTAATTTAAAATATTTTGTTTCCGCGTGTAAGATAGTTGCTTACAAAAAAAAAGTTTTACATCTTGCTTTTTTTACGCAATCTATTATATGCTAATAAGATACATATTTGTATCTTAAATAACTTTACCAGCAATATGTGAAGTCTTACTCAGGGTAGCAACAGCTTGGAAAAATGTAAAAAATGGTAGAAAGAAATCGAGTAAACAAGAAGTTTCTTTTAACTTCTCGATAATTTTAGTAAATTAAAAGAAATTAAAAATGTATATANTCAAAATCTAGTCTTGTTTTCTCAACTACATTTTTTGTCTCAAATTTAATGCCTAGCTTGAGCCTATGACTTTATTTATTTTACTTAATTTATTTATTACTTTGCGAGTATATTTTACTTTTAATATTAGATGGTTTTCGAGTGAGGGGGGGGGGCGCTAAAAAGGTATTGTGCCCCGGGCGCGAGTTAAGCTCGCTACGGCACTGGAAAGAAATCGAGTAAACAAGAAGTTTCTTTTAACTTCTCGATAATTTTAGTAAATTAAAAGAAATTAAAAATGAGCAATTGCATTCCAAATATAAAAGAGAAATAAAAAATTTTTAAATTTGCAGCAGTCACGCAAAATATTTTCCGTTTTTTTTTCTTTTTTAAATTTGTAGATTGAGACCACTTGGTAACATTTCGAACCAAGAAAGAATGCAGTGAGTGCATATTTGGTAACCTTCCCATGCTTTGGTAACTATCCGAACTCGTGAAATTCCTTCCTGAATTAGAAACAGCTCTGATTATTAAGCTTTCGAATGTTTGAGAATAATGTTTCGTTCAATAGTAATAATGTTTCGAATAGGATATATGAAAATCCATCGCTTGAATGTTCCAATTTTTAAAAAAGTAATGATAATATCTATTAGGAAATATCTATCAGCGCTATTCTGAAAAAATTGATTTTGAGAGACAATTTTGACAGTTTTATAAGAAACTTTATTCATAATTTTATTTTATTTCCCAGTACTCTGGTAAGCCTACTGATTTTGCTTTTTGTAATATATTTGTTGTTATACGTTTTAAAATTGATGTCTTTCTTGTGAGTTGTTATCAAGTAACAGTTTAAAACAAGTTTTAGAATTTTAAACAAATAAAGTCAAATGATAATGAAAAACAAAAAGCTTTCATAACATAATTTAATAAATGATGAAAATTTTGATGTGCACATAATTCGAAAAATGATACACTTATTGACATTGAAGAGAGGGTGGGGTCACATTTATTTCTTTTGTTCTTTATTCAGTCTGGTGTTGCAGTCTTTTTTGATGGTCGGTTATTCTTTTCCTTGCAGCAGGACCGTCTCACGATGATGTCATCATCTTGTTTGAGCACTCTGAGAGCCACGATTGGGTGTTTTAATGTCGATGAGCCTGTGAGCAATGTTGAAGCATGATGCTCTGTTCTTTCGCGTCCTCTTTGGCAATGTAACAAATTTCTTAAATCGGTCTGAAAAGAAATCATGTCATTATTTCGTAAACTCATCCGCTTTATCTATAAACAAACTACTTCCCACTATATCCTTAACATACATTTTAAGAATCCTTGTCAATGAAGTCAAACATTAGAGATCGCAAAGATATATTTAAGCGAAGAAAAGAAAAGATATATCGAATATTGACGAATTGATGCCTTTAACAAGGGGATATTTAAACGCCAGAACTTGTTTGACAGTCTAGAGAAACGGAGAGGAGTTGATATTTGAAGAAAAGTTAATTTGAAACATTTTCAAGCTTTATTCTCTGTTTAAACAGGTATTATTATTTAAAATCTCGTTATTTTTAATAGTGTCTCAACAGATTTCGATAGTGTTTTTCTCGCTTTTTCTTCCTTGCTTAAATTCGAACTTCCAGTGAATATATTTTAGAGTATATTTTGACAATTAAGTTTCAATAATTTAAGTTGACTTTTAGAGTATATTTTGACAATATAAGTTTTAAAATTTCTATACTTGAAATTTGAATTTATTTATTATACGTACTATTTTCTTACATCATTTCTTACAAAAATTAGCTTGCGTTTCTCCTAATTGTTTCATTTTCATGGTAATTGAGAATAAGTTCTATAGTTGTAACTGATTGAGAAAAAAAGTGGAAGATTGTTGGGAAATAAATTCCATTTGCTCTGATGTTACGAAAATGCGTATAAAACGTGTGGTTATAAGCACTATTTGGTTCCGTTGGTTGATATCTCTACAGCTATGTTGTGGATCTGTTCATTTGCCAGGCAATCGATTGCCCGACATTACATTTTACCGGCAGCGGTTTTCTAATCCAGCGGCTTTTGAAAACCCGCTCTCTTCTTTGGTATTCTTTCTAAATAAATAAAAACATTATTTTTGACTTTTTTTTTTTAATTAGGTGACAAATTTTAAAAGATATAAAAACTTAAATTAAAGTGCAACCAAATAGAGCCGAGTGGAAATCCTCCAAAAAGGAGATCGTGTCGATAAAGTTTGCTAGAATTTAAATTAGCTCTCTGACAACTGACTGCCTATTTATCCTAATACTATATGTTTTTCCAACGAGTACATTTTGCTAGTAATACAATTGCCGACAGAGTTTATAATATAATAAGGTGCATCATTAACAGTTATTCCGTCAGTTTTTGAATGCAAAGCATTGGTTTTATCCAGTTCATTCTGGTATTTTTCAGATTTCAAGTTTATATTTTTGGTGACACAATGTAATTACCTAACGTTATTTCGTCCGTTTTCTTTTGGACGACCTGGGACGTTAAATCGAGCCATGACTGCATCTTCAAACCACTTATGTTATTAGTACTTTTAATAAAATAATAATTATTTGGATATTAGTCTATCATAATTTTTTTCTACAGTAATTTTTGAAGTGAAACTCCTAGTGCGACTTCCAACAAGGTTGCGTTAAACGTTTAACGCTACCATGGAGGGGGTATGAAAGCACTGTTGCGTTAGTATTATACTGAATTCAGTATTATACTCAGCACATATATATAATATATGATTCAGTATTATACTGAAGCATATTGTTATGTTATGTGGTTTATATTTATTTTTTGATACTTATGTTTTAAGTTTAACGAGTGAATTTAAACGAGATCTAAAAAAGGAGACAGTACAAAATGTAGACCACATAAAATGGTGAGTCGACATTTTAGTTTCTCTCAAATTTAGACTATTCTCTGTAATTTCTTCTTCTTTTTTTATTTTTATTTTATGGATTTAGCCCTGCCAAAATGTTATGAACTTTAATTGTAAATGTACTTTAATTGTAATTGTAAATGTTAATGTAGTATTATACTGAAGCATATTGTTATATTATGTGGTTTATATATATTTTGAAGTGAAACTTTTAATGCCACTGCCAAAATGTTATGAACTTTAATTGTTATGAACGTATGTTATGAACTTTAATGGTAAATGTACTAACATCCTATTTTCATTTCCACATTACGAAGTTTCACTTCTTCCGCGAGGAGGGACTCTACGCACTATTTTTGTTTTCTATAATAATTTTAAACTGTTATAATTTTTTGTCCTGAAAATGCTCTGTCGAACGATTGAGTTGTCGGACAATTTGGTTAAGTCGTCAGTTGTACCAAAGCTCAGTGTTACCACTATTAAAATTTTCGATAATAATTCTAAACTGTCACAGTTTTTAGTCCTGAAAATGGTTTATATCCTGGTACATATAGCGCCTGGTAATGACTTACATAGGTTTTTGTCCTGGGACAACAGGGAGATTTCGCACTTTTACGTTAGCTTCCGTGCGCTCCCGTATGTAAGATTGAAGCAACTGCGCATGATCAATTTATATTTTAGATGCTACGCATCTTTACGTTATGTTCGCGTGATTTACGCTACTGAGGCAAAGAAGCTAGCTGTTTATCGTTGTTACATGTTGTTTTCTGTTTAAGCCCACCTTCGAACTAAAAACATGGACATAGAATGCGAATTTGAGGAAATGTATTAATTAAATTTAGAAATGAATCTTGTGATCTTGCAACAATTGGTTCATTCAATAAATAAGTACTTTTGTTGGCTTTTATTTAACATTATTTTTGTTAGCATTATGTTTGTTAGCATTATGTTTGTCGAAATCTTCCTAATTAAGTTGAGTCATCAGTTGCACCAGATCTCAGCGTTACCATTATTAAAGTATTAACCCAACCATTATTAAACCAACGAATAAAACAAATCGCTACAGTATCACAAAATATTCATGTTTTACATACTTTATATCACTATTAGAACTTACTCTGAAGTTATCACTCATAAAACAATACACAAGAGGATTTACAAAGCTGTTGGCCATAGAAAGCCAATGGCAACTGAGAAATGCAGCTGCAAATCCTGGAAAATCTTCATCCCGTATCGGCATCACTAGGTCGGGAACGAAGTATACCATTAATCCAAAAATGTGTATTGGAAGCCAGCAAAGAGCAAACAATATCACTATAGTTGCCATCATTTTAACCACCTAAATACAGCGAACAGAAAAAAGATCATAAATTTCTAATCTTTAAATAAAGTGAGCTTGAAATTCTTTCAAAAATTAAATATAGTTATCTTAGTATTTCTTTTTTCATAAGTAAAACAACTGATATGCTTTTAATTTTTTATTCATATTGTACATAAGCAGTTTGGAACTCTACCTGTTCGATAACCAAAGGGGTAACACAGTTATTCAGATTTAAAAATTTATTATCTTATTATACCCAAGATTATCTTAATTTAAAAGCCTAAAAATTTCAAATCGAAATAAATTTCTAGCTAGAAAATTTTTGACTGGAAAAGTTGAAAAATCGTCTCCAATTTATAAAATCCAGGATTGGGTGAAACATTTTATAGTATAAAATAATAAAACTATACATTTTTATTATTCCATTACAATAGATAATCTATTGATTGGATTTTTTCAGATACATAATTTATAGATTAAACAAAGTGTTTCCACCGCAAATTGGAGAAGTCTGAGCCGTTAATTATTCAGTGTATATCTTGATGATTATCACAACTTAATTTTTTTTATTGTCAAATCTGAATTCGTCGGAAAAAAGCATGTTTATTCAGAAATCTCTGTTTCTTGTTCTATTTTCTTATTTCTTGTTTCTTGTTCTCTGTTTCATTGTTTGATTCTCTGCCTACAGTTGTCTAATAAATCTTTTTTTCAAAAAAATCGTCGTTTAAGAAAAATTGGAAAAACTTTCAATTCAGCTATTAAATTATAATTACAATGTTAAGAATGTGTAAAATATCGTTTAATGCCACCTAAAACATTTAGTTGTCGCTGTCAAACTTTTTACAGGATCTTGATATGTAGTATATAAAATATAGGAAATATAATATTTTCTCATTATAATATTATTTTATTTTGATTGACACGGATATCTTGCTCCTTCAAAATAAACGAAGTAGTTAAATCGCAAAGTTTTTATCCTTAAAAATAAGACTTATTATCAAAATAGGAATATAGAATACTAATGAGTTAAAAGTAAATCTATTTAGCACCTGTAATTCATTTATCTAACTAGCAATGCTCAAATCTTTCAACCGACGGGTACTTAATTACTTCTGAAAGTAAGGGAAGGGTTTGATATTAGTGATAAAATTGGTTAATGTTAAACTTTTATCACAAACTTAATTGTTCTTACGTCAAATGGGATAGAAAGCGTGATAAGAACATGAACTTATGGCAATTTATTTCCATTTATTACTTCATTATAATTACTGATTTCATTAAAATTTTAATGTCATTTTAACCTGCTCTAAAAGAGGAAAAATTGAAGCAGCCATTTGAAACTAGCAGTAGAATGCATTTATTTCTTATAAAATGGAATTAGGTTAAACAATAAATCAACATTTTTCTAATAGAAATATTTAATAACCCATTTCTGACCAGAGTACTTGTAAAAGGTATGATTCCTTCCTTAAAAAGTGGAAAAAAGTGGTAGCACATTTGCTTCATTGATAGGCTTTATTGGGATATCCAGGGGCTATCTATAGATGTGATGTGATATCCTGGTTGGTAGGGCGTTTGGCCCATGTTCAAGAGGTCGTGAGTTTGATCCCCCACCCCGGCTGAAGACTTCGCGTGTACAAATTGGTGACTGGTGCATGCTAAATCTCTCCGGGTCACAATGTCCTGCAAGTTCCCATAACAAATCATTGAGGATACTGGATATGAGATCGATCAATCACTGGTTCAGGACAAAATTACGATTTGCAGATGGGTGGATGTTGTGTGAATGCGTTCTTCTTGTAAAACGGGCTGCAACGTATGTGTGTGGCAGAAGCTGAATTCTAGGCCCTAGATTGCGCCACTGGAGCACACAAAAAAGCGCACCACTTTTTCTAAAAAATTGGCTTGTTATCATTAACAAGTGGCAACTAGATAGTTCAGGCAATTATATTGTATTAATAATATAAATACTTATCTTTGCATGTAAGGTCAAAAACTCTGTGAATTTTTAAAGCTAAAGTGGTAGGTAAAAGAAAAATATATCCACTTACTGTAAGCAAAGATATTCTACCACTTTTAAAGCAGAGCGCTAACAGGTTAAGGTAAAATACAGAAAAAACTAAGCACAAACAGGGTATAAAATTAAGTACTTCTTATTAGAATGCATGCTTGTTTCAGCCGGCATCTGTTTTATGAATTCCGTCAGGAAAATTTAAAACCTTATATTAAACATAACAGACTAACACAATTTTTCATTGCTATCAGTGTATTTTTATTCCCTTTCAATTCATATGAATGGATCCAGTTTTCCTACATCAATTTCCATATTTTTTTAAAGGTAATCAGAATAAAATTAAAAGAAGTTTTGTTTTCCTATCAAACATATTTGTATCCTTAATTAAAAAGTATTCATCTGTATTTTTCATTTTTCTTACGTAGTCTTCTACAATTACGTTTTTGATTTTGAATTAATTTCTAATGTTAATAATTAATTAATTGCTTTCTAAATTTGGAATTTAGCACTGAAAGTGTTGATCCATTATTATAACTTAGTTCTACGGTTTTACCTTATTACGCTACAATTTAATCAATCATTTTCTAATAATTATTTTTGTTTCTCTAATTTAAAGGTGAAAATTACCTCTACTATTACATTTTTGATTTTGTTTGATTTCGAAATTAAGAATTTAGGAGGATTGTTTTTAATATTATTATTATTAGAATAATGTAATTCTAATTTGCATTTTAAGATAAACTTTTTTGAATCGATATCTAAACTAATTGAACATTTTACAATTATTAGTTTTTGGTAAATTCCATTAATATACTATTGTAAATTACAGTTTAAGATATTCGTTTAACGATTAAGAAGTTAACGATCAGTTTCATGCACAATGTGATGCATGCACAAATTTTATTCAATATGTCATCATGTTTGGTAGTCCAAAATATTAAGTTACTGTTATGTAGTCATTAAATTTGTTAAAACAACATATATTTAATTTGATATGTTATTTAATGTCTAATGTCACGAAACAACAAAACTCCTAGTCTTTAAATATAAATTTATTGTGCTATAAGGCAAAAATGTCATTAAAAATTGGTAAATGAATTAATTATCACTTTGGTATGATGTGGCACAATGATTGCTGAAGCATCTAACCTGCTACTGTCAATGTAAAATTCAAATTGACAAGGAAAAAAAAACACCCACCCACAAAAACTAATAATGAAAAAATATGCCCCAAACTCATGTGAAAGCATCTGTAACCTAACGCTTTTACAAGTTATTTTAATATTTATTACGTAATGTGTGTTCAAAATGAATAGTTTGTGAAATACCTTCATTTTAGCTACCAGTTGCTGTCTATCTCTTGACGCATCGGCGTTTCCTGGAGTAGTGTGAGCCCACATCCTTACTCCTATGCTACCATACGTATAACTTAAAATCAACATTGGTACAAGAAATGTTAAAAAGAATACAACTGATGTGTACACCTGAAAAATAAAAAAAACTTTGAAAATCCTACTTAAAATAAAATTTATATCACATGTTATTGTTTGTTAATTTACCTAATGGTTTGCATTACAAGAAAGCAAAATTGAAATTTTCATATTGAATAAACCTATGAAGAGTTATGATCATAAAAGGATTAATATTAAGATGGAACCAAACTTTGTACTTAACTATCTTTGCATATACTTAATTTTAATATTACAATGAAATCGGTTCGCATCTATGAACAAAGGGGCTACCATCTCCTGTTCGCCATCGCTCACCAATTCCAAAACTGCCTTCGCAGTTTCGATTAGGAGGCATTGAGATTCATGCTTGCTTCTCAAGTATTTTTCATAAGTATACATAAACTATAGCTGATAGTAAGTAATGTTAGTCCCATTAACTTTGACTATTAATAAGTAGAGCCAGTCATGTTAGTTATAACTAGTAATTGGTAACTTTAGTGACGTTAGCTACGACCATTAATAAGTAGCGTTAGTAACGTAGCTACGACTATTTATAAGTAGCGTCAGTCACGTTAACTATAACTATTAATAAGTAGCGTTAGTTAGATTAACTGCAGCTAATAAGTAGTATTAGTCAGGTTAATTATAACTTTTTATTAAGTAGCATCTGTCAATTAACTGTTTATTTTGAACAAAAAACTATAAAAAGGAATTCTTACTTAAGTAATTTATAAACTCTTCAAACATGATTTATTTCGACCAGGTACGGCCTGAATATTGTTTTAAACTGGTAGTTAAATTTTGAAAAATATACATACTTTGAAATATTCATATGTGCTAAAAATAATTTAATTTTGTTTATCGTGGTGTGAAGGACTTTAAAATTGATTTTATGAAAGTAATTGGAAGTTAACTTTAGGAAATTTGAAGCAGTTTTGAGAAAAGTTCATCACAATTCTCTCGTTTTTTCAGGTTGTGGGTACCCTGTATTTGGTGAGGTACTTTAATGGGTACCTTGGGTCTGACGAGGTTAACCTATTCCGGATAAGTATCATACACGAGCTTGTCACAACAACCTATAAAAATAGCCCTGCTCTGAAGGGACATCTACTTCTTCTTCAAAAGATGAGAAAAGTAAGAAAATGAATCAGGGGACAATATATAAATGGCAAATTTAAATGTCAACATTGAATAAACCTTTATTAAAATTGAAACGGAAATGACTCAACCAATCCCTCCCGCATCCCTTATATCGAATGTTATACGAGCAATGGCTATAGTATGTAGTTATAACTGCTAATCATTAGCAAGCAGTTTCAGATAATTTACATATTCTGAAGAAAGAATAACAATAAAATGTTTTTACTACCAGGCTGGCTTTTCAGGACAAATAAGACAAATAGCAGCCTTGCTTTAGTTATTAATTTGTGATTTTTTTAAAAGGAAATAATAAGATTTGTTGGTTTTCCAAGATTTTTTTACTTTTTTCATAGAAATATCTAGGTAGATCGCATTTTTTATGCTTTTAAAATAAAACTCGTTTTAACAGAAAGATTTTTGAAGAATCGTATTTACCATTTCCTACAGCTGAAAAAATTGAGAAAAGAGAAGACTTTCTACTTATTCTTTTTGCAAGTTACAGAGAAATATCATAAATATTTAAAACTTATTAAATGAAGTTGCAGGGTTTGAACAAAAGTATGGAAACACTTCGATTCTAATTCTATGTAAGTAATCTCTCTTTCAGCTGCTTATGTTTTCGAAGATTTTACATCGAAAAAAATGATAGCATAATACGTATTCATGCTTGAAGCCTTTAGAAATGCTTTTCATTTTCACGTATCCAAAATTCGAATGAAACTAAATGAAGAGAGGAAGTTAATTAGTCTCTTTAGTTTTAATACTATAATTAAGTCTTTTTAGTTTTAATACCAGCAATTTTGAAAACATTCTGTAGGATAGCTATATTTATATTATAATGCTTACCTAATTAAAGCGGTATTAAAAAATGAAAGAAGCTTTTAAACCCTTCATTTGGGTCGATGTAAGTTTCTCTTGGGTGAAAAGAACACCATTTCTTAGAGCTTTAAGCATGATCTTTCAATTCGTATAAACAGTTTTGCTAGGTAAAATCTTTCAAAACATTTGCAGTCAAATGAACGATTATTTATATAGATTTAGTTTATAAGTATTTTCGTAATTCTGTCTTACCCCAGCATAGTATATTGATATATTATAATCGAATTTTGAATGAATAATGAGATTTTTAATTCAGAATATTGTTTCCGAAGTTTGTTTTAACTCTTTAGTGGGCCATTTATTTCTAGTAAAGGTTTATTTCTAGTAAACAGTAATTTTAGTTTAAAAATAATTCCAGCATTATCTGTGTTTTTATAAGTATCAAATAATTAAATAATCTGTTTCATGACTTGAGCATACTAACCCGTGACGAAAACCGGACTCGACTTGCACCGACCGCAGTGCAGACGTGAAATATCTTCAGTGGTAGATGGATCATAGGTTAGAGTCCCCTTGCCGTCAGGCTAACAGTGGGAGGTTCTGGCGGTCTTCCTCTCCATGAAACGCAAATACGTGTTAGCTCCATCAAAAAGTTCTCCACGAAGTCAAAATTTCTCCCAATACTCGATCCATGAGTTTCCTTGTCTTCTGGATTGGGTTCAAAATTACAAGGCTACGGAGTTGAACATAAGTAGTCGTAAACCCATGAAAATTAGGTCGGCTGTTCAACGACGGTTATAATATAAAATAAAACATTTTAAAAGACTCAACACGACTTAACTGCAACATAGTGGTGTATCACGTAAGCCTTTGAATTATTTATGAGTAAAATTATTTATAAGTATACTATGTACAAGTGCTTAAAAACCCTATAAATTGATTTGACTAAACCAAGAATGATATTTTAAAAAACAAGAGCAAATTGCCGTTTCTGGTTCAAGATTTTCCCTATTTTTCAAGTAAATATTTTTATTTTAAAAAATCGTGATATTTTTCTTTTGACACAGCAATTGTAGAGCCTGACGCAATAAAGAGATAACTCACACTTTTTCAAAGACCACCAACTGTTTATAAATATTATTTTCAGATAGGTACTTTAGAAGTTTCATAGTTTCCCAGGGTAACAGCACAATAACAAAAACATCATTTGACATAGTGAAAAAATGTAACATTTTCCCTCGTAAACGTTTGCATGAACAACGTGGCTTATTATTATATTGCCTCAAGTTCTTTAAAGATCACTAATAATACCCAACTCTATCATAAATATGTCAGTTTTTAGCAAAAACTTTATAAACATGAAACTGAGGAGTAAATAGTAATTCCAAAATATATTTTCATCTGTAATTTGAATTTTATCAATTTAGTTTAACAAGTTTCCTGCATTAAATGAAATCCCTTCAACTACTTCAAAAACTTAAACTCTGAAATCATCAAAATCAATTGAGTAGTTAATTCTATAGCATAGTCCATTAATATTATACCACTAAAATATTATTTTCAATATCCCATTTATGCTTGAACACACTATATATTCCTTATAGATGGTTGCCCTAATATTCATCATTAAAGTTAAGAACGTACAATATTAATAAATTAATATAATCGTATATAATGATAAGCTTATATATTAGTGTAATTTAATAAAGTGAAGACCGTCGATAATCAGTTTTATTAATGAATGTTGCTTGCACAAACATTAAGCCTAACTCATCATAAGGACATTTTGAACGCCAAAAACTATTTTTGTCAAACAAACTGTGGAGAGAGCAATAAGTTTCAAATATTTACACGCTCGCTTGCTTCGACTAGTTGATTTTTCATACTGTGGGGAAAAAAAACAGCATTCCCTCTCATTATCTGTTCACTATTGGTTTATCGACAAGGGAGCTATTTTGAGAGAAGGAATGAAGTGTTTCCACTTATAAACCAAAAAAACAAAAAAATATTCTTTTCTTACATTTGAAGAGTATTGTTATAGATAAAAACTTGTTTTAGATGAAAAGTTTTTTTAATTTTTTATTTCGAAAAGGTTAAAAAATTCAGAATCGGTTTAATGTAGGTATCTAAAATAAATCTGCAGTTAAAAATAAGGGTCATCGTTTTCGATTTCCCTATATTACGCCAAAATAATTAAAATAATTTGAGTTTTTTAGTTAATAAATATATTTGAAAAAAATTATTAGCCCACTATATTAATGACTAATATATAAATTTGATATCAAAGTTTTTTAAATTTAAGAGTTTGCTAAGCTATCAAACATATCCATTAGCTTTAGTAATTGATTTATTACCACTTTATGTTAATATTTAGTTAATCTGCAGTTGCCATGCATTATGAAAATAAGAAGAGTATGTTAACTGTGCTTTATAAATGAGAATGATTCATTATAAATTAACCCTTTAGTGGATCACTTATTTCTAGTAAACGTTGGTTAAAATACTATTATGTATGGCTATCAGAGTTGGCATGAATATGGCTGACAAGTGAGTATGGTTGCAAAACTTATTAGGTTGCTGAACTTACTAATCTGAAGGGGAAAAAATAGATCGAATGTAATTAAGTGCAGCCAGAATTATCACTGGTCTCAAAAGCTGCTGTTCCAGTGATATTGATCTTTCTAAAGCTGATTTTTCCGGCTTTTTTCCTGAAAGTAGAAGCAAATTTTCCTAAGTACATTGCTAAGCTTAAGACGTTTTGGGCCATGGAATAGAACATAAAACTCTTTATCAAGTTCAACAAATAACTAGTGGTTGAAAAAGGATATCCCTTTCGGAGGATAATGTGAAAGCAGGGCTTGACGGACATTGATGCTGACTCCTGTCGCCCTTTCAATCTTTTGATTCCCACTATATCGCTTGGTAATGTAACTTTTCTTGTAGACTTGAAAGTGAGTTTTATCAAGCACCATGAGTTGTAACAACAATCGACCCTCCATGTGTCATAAATAAAATCCTTTTATGAGCCTCGATAATCTACACTGACTGCAGAAAATTTAACTTACGAGGAACGG